GGCCTCCCGCCGCTCCCGCCGGCTGCTTGCCCCCTGCCCTGGCTGCCCTGAGGTCACTGTGGGACTGCTCGGGCTGTTCTCTGTTGGCGTCCGTCTGCGGGAACGCGAGTGCTTTAACCTCCTGGTTGGCAGAGGAGAGCGGGTTTGTTGGCGTTCAGCGCTTCCCAGCCCTGGCTTTGTGCTCGGGCTGTGGAGCACTGCCTGGGCAGTGTCTCTGAGGTGTTTCCCCAGGGAGTCGGTGAAAGGCAGGTGAAGGGCAGTGTTCTTGGCTGTGCTGGTGTGGCTGTACAGCTGTCAGGTGTTACATTACTTAAAAAAACATAAATAAGCCTTTTACTTCCTTCAGTTATTGCTGCGTAAATAGCAGTAGTGTAAATAGAGGACAGAAAGCAGGTCACTGGGGGTTACTGAAGAAAACAGAAATGCCTTGCTTACACGTATCTACTCACCTCTTCAGACTGCGAGCTGTTTAAATCAAGCAGACAGCACCTGGGCTCTGTTGCTGCCTGGGTTAAGTGTTGTATCTTTGGATTCCGAGCAGTTGTTTTCATCCTAAACCGAGCTGAAAAGTGTGTGAAGTGAATATGATCTGGTTTGTATTTCTTCCTTTCTAAAGGTTTTTAAAAAACATCTAGTTTGCAGGTCTTGCTGATGTGTCGATATCTGAAGATATTCCAGTGGAAGGGGAGATTACTGTTCCTGTCGGATCTCGCTCTCCTGATGAAGACTACTCCACCCTGGATGAGCCCGTCAGGGATACCATTGTGAGTCTGGGACTTTACCTGTGACAAAATACGTGTTTTGACAATATCTTTGGCCAACTGTTACGCAAAACCTGTGTTTTTATGGAGCTCTGCTTGACTTGTACTTCATTGTAAGTTTGTGGTTTTCTTTAGAACTAGCTATGCAAAATGAATTATTATGGTCAAAAAATATCTGAATTACAGCCCCAAAGTTTCTCTGTGATCTCAAAGTCTTTCCAAGGGTAAAGGCCTCTGGAGAAGCTTGGGAGAAAACTGTCCTGACTGATAGGATTTTTTTCATTAATTTTCTTTTCCTAGAGGAGCGAACAAATTATTTTTAATTGGGTGTTATTAAAGGATGAAATATTGTGGTTGTTAAGAGATGTAGGAAAGTGTGTGTCTTTTGTTGCAGAGGATGCTACAGAAATTTTTGGGTTGCATCCCATCTTTATTTACCATCAATACTCCTTTCCTTCTATCTTTCTGCTTTTAGTTGTGAACAGTAATTTTAGTGAAGGCATGAATTAAAGTGTTACTTCTTTATTTTCAGATGAGAGATCTGAAGGCTGTTGGGAAGAAATTTGTCCATGTTATGTATCCAAAAAAGAGTAGCACCCTCCTCAGAGACTGTACGTATCAGAAGATTTTCAAAATCTTGAAAGGATGTTTTGTCAACACTTTGCTTACATGGGGAAAGGAAGAGCTCAGTGGAACAGAGATTCAGGAGTGTCTGTTCGGTGTTCTTTCTGTTGCAGAATGCTGAATAGCAAACACGAGAAGTCAGAATGTTACCAAAGCTCTTTAAAAGTGGAACGTGTGCCAGAATGCATGGGAGAGTTGGCAGGCTTTTAATAGATGATGTTGTAGAACACGGAGTATAAGATGCTAAGTAAGAAAAGTCTAAGGAAGTATCCTATGCAAAATGATACACTGACAGTTGGAAAAGTCTCGGGGAAATGAAACTGCTCATCATTCTATTAAATTTAATATTTTATTTTTTTTCTCTGCCTACAGGGGATCTTTGGGGCCCTTTGGTGCTCTGTGTCTCGCTTGCACTGTAAGTACTTAGAGTGGGCAGATTTGGGGTTTTGTAGTCTTTTTCACTGGAGAAATGAGAGACTAAAATTTTCTGATTAAATGTGTTGAGATAAAGCTCATCCAATCCTTCTTTGGTCTTCTGCAAACACTGCCTGTCTGTGATCAGTCTGCAGCCTCACTGTGGTCAACGTTTGAGGCTCCTGTTCTGTCATTCACTCCAAGTCTGTGAAAACTCAGTCATCGATCGCAAATGACTCCTTTTATCTGTTACCTACAACAGGATGCTGCAGGGTGGATCAGCAGACAGTAAAGACGACGGAGGGCCCCAGTTTGCCGAGGTCTTTGTCATCATCTGGTTTGGTGCAGTTGTCATCACGCTGAACTCAAAGCTTCTTGGAGGAACTATGTGAGTGCTGGTTTATTTAGTAGCAGTTAAAATGCTCCCGTGCATGGCGTTTCTGCAATGCTTTGCTTTGACTCCTTTTTTCCCTTTTCTGTCTGTCCTTTGCAGATCTTTTTTCCAGAGCCTGTGCGTTCTGGGTTACTGTGTGCTGCCCCTGACAGTGGCAATGCTGGTGTGCAGGCTGGTGCTGCTGGCAGGGTCGGGGACTGTCAGCTTCATCATACGTCTCATCGTAGTCATAGCTATGTTTGGCTGGTCAACGTTAGGTGAGTTCCTTTTTGCGTTATAACACTGTTGTGTGTGCTGAGTGGTGCAATGCTTGAGGAGGTAGATCTGTGTGTGATCTGTTGGGTAAAGCCAATGGATGTTGCCACTTCAGGTGTTTCCTAGGCTGCTGAAGTATTGGAGAAATAGTTCTTCCAGCCTTTGTGTTGGCAGGGATTCAGCCTCTGCTCCTGTTGGTTTTCATGCTGATATGTGAATTGCCTTTGGCAGAAGGGTGATAATTTCATATTAAACACCATGTGAGACTACTGGAGATTTTATTTTGTGATCTATGTTATAAAAACTGTTAGAAGATGCTAATTTCATACAGATGCATTTGCATTACTTCTGGAAGTCTGACTCTTGTTGTGGAATGTTAATCAGCATTTATCTTTCTGATAAAGAAAGTTGTAATTGGTGATTATAGACTGTTGGTGTTGAGCCATGGAGTACTCTGTTTGCTCTTTCAACATAATCATGATGGAGATCTTAATTCAAAACTGTTAACATCTGCAGTGGATCTTAGACTTTCAGTTTTATGCTGCTCACGTTTCAAGTATTTTTCTCTCTCACCAGCATCTACAGCTTTCCTGGCAGACAGTCAGCCGCCAAACCGCAAAGCTCTTGTTGTGTACCCCATCTTCCTCTTCTACTTTGTTATCAGCTGGATGATTCTCACCTTCACACCTCAGTGATCTGCGATCAGAGGAGACTGTGTAGTACGGACTGGAGTTTCTTCATGAACACCGCAGTTAATCATTGGCTTTATCTCTTTCTAATTTATATATATAGATATTGTAAAAAGGCAGGTTATGGGATAAAGCCACAGAACTGCGAAAATTGTTCGTTTGTGTGTCCCTCTTTTTGAAAGATACAGAGGTGCAGCTGCTGAGGGGTTTTTTATTTAGCCCTGCTCTTTAGTTGTGTTAAATAAAAAATGCCCGCTGTGACAGGGATTATTCCGCCTGAGGAACAGAGTGGGATATCGTGGAATTTCAAGACGTTGGGTAGATGAAGATGAAGTGATAGGATCGCACGACTTGGCAGAATTCTTCCTTGTGCTTGGATTCTCACTGAAGATGAATATGCCTTATGAAATAATAGAACTTCCTTACTGTTATGTGTCGGCTGGGGAAGAAGTGTGTTTGACTCCTTTTTCATTCACTTATAGAGTGCTGAAATGTGTATAAAGTGCATCATAGGACTATGAGCTTTCACTTTGAAACCAGATTTCAGCAAAAAATAAGCTGGGTCTATTTTGCAGTTAATTGGAGCTGGGCGGAGGGGAACTGCCTTTGCTCATATTCACCTGTTGTGTATTTGTTTCGTCCCTTCATATGTCAAGAAAGTGTTTCAGCCAAATGCCTTCAACACCATAGTTACACTGACTAGTTTGTATCTCCTGAGATGGAGTGTCGTTACACTGGAGAGTTACAAATCTTTTTGTGTGACCATAGATTAGAATGTTAGAAGTCCTGGAGAAACAGTCAAAACTGGTTTGCAACTGGGACTTGGCTCTCACTCTGCGTATTGAGAATGTAGAATTGTCTGGAGAGTACCAAGTAAACTGTGTATGTATCTATACTAAAAAAAAAAAGTTATTGAAGTAAGTTGAGGTTTTGATACCGAAGATGTTTGTGTGCTAATCTACCACACCAGGACTTAGGCCTGGAAGTTTTAAAACGGATTGGAGGAAGGAAACTAAATCACGATGAAGGTGGAGGCTGCTATGAAGTAGGATACGAGTTCTGGTCTTAACTGCTTCTATGTGACTTTGCATTTGGTTGTTTACAAGGACAACGTTTCAACATAAATGCAGAAAATTTGCATATTGTTTCTTTGTACTTAGATGTGAGAAACTTTTCTATAGGTTTTGGTTTTTTTTTTTTTTTGCTTAATACTTTTTATAAAAGGGGAGGAGGCTTTGTTCTCTAATTTCCTGTAGGTGCACTTCTGTACCTTGCCTGGAGAACCACATACAGGTGTACAAGGGTGTCATTTATGTTTCTGCACAGGGACTGAGATCTGGGGAGTTGCTTTTTGAAAACTGTACAGAAATTTATTTATGGTGTCCATTATTTTCACTAAGTAATCCCAGGGGAGAGCTTTGAAGCATCGGGGGGGTGAAAAAGCTGCTGTTAAAATGTCACTTTTCCTGAAAATGTGGATCGTATTTCCTTTTTCTTATAGTAATGCTGGTAGACCTGAATTTGATGTAGACCTGTGGGTCCTCCTGAGGAGTCAATATGCCTAATTTATATTTATATATGAAAGTGCCATTTCTGCTATAAACACTGTAAGTATTTGATACTTGGGATGGAAACTTCTAAATTTGCAGATTAAAAGTACCTTTTTCGATTTCTGGAAGTTTGGAGAAGAGGGAAGGAAAAAAAATACGCTGCTCTCGGCAGGGACCCAGCTTTGGTGCAGAACAGACATTCATTGAGTACATATGGAGCTGGCGGCTGTTCTTGCTGCCTCCCTGCACCCTCAGCTGTGCTCAGGTGCTGCAGGAGGAGCTGAACTGTTTCGTAGACATGGGTACAAAATGGAAACGGGGAATTTTTAAACTTCCATTAAATTATTACTGATACGGAATGTGGTTTTCTTTTAAGTGTGCGGTTTTCCATTCACTTAAACATTGGTTTAACTTTATGAAGCGGTAAAGAAATATTCAAAGGTGGTACACAGTAAGGTGGGATTCTTTGAGCGAAATCTTTCTTTCCTTCTGCAGCACAAGAATGTAACCATTTTAGAGAAATCCGTGGAATTCTGTCTCGGTAGTAACATGTAATTGATCCAATATCTTTTTGAAAAGAAGGGAAATAGATTTTTAAGAAGAATTAAAATCCCATCTTTCTCTCCTTGCTTGTTTTTGACTTAGATACAAGTCTCATGATGGTTTGGTCTGTATCATTGCTCTGGTTTTCTACAAGAGAGAAGAAAATAATTTTTATATTAACTAGAGTTACGTTGCAACGCCTCACCAAAGTTTTTAGTTGAGAGTTGTTTTTAATCTGAATGAATAGACAGAAATATACTGGTTATATCGTGGAGGTGTGGTTTTGTTTGGTTGGTTTTTTGACTCATGGCAATCCTTTAGTATGGAAGCCATCATCTTCTAAAGCTGTAAAATCTCTGAGGGGGTTTATGTTCCTAAAGATGTAACTTGCCCTCAGTTTTTATCTGGCAGGATGCAGGCGGGTAACTAGATTTTCTGAGTTTTCATGCCTCCAGTTGAATAAAGGTACATGTCTTACATATGGTGGGTTTTTAATCATTGTTTCCTGTAGCAGAGAGTGGAGGATGTTAGCATCCTTGGCCAGGAACTCTAGTCGCCGTAGCTCACTGCCCGATTCACCTTGCTTCTCAGCCTTCTGTCGTGTGGATATGCTTGGTGCCAATGCTCTTAAAAGCACTCAGTGTATCTTGTCAAAAATAATTTCCCCACCACGCTGTTATAATCGCTTCTGGAAGAACTTCACTGAGAGTGGCTTGGCCTTTCAACTTGAAGATGATAGTCTAGTGAAAAATGTAACCCTTTTAGAAGTGAGTGTAACTGCTTGGAAAGGCAGAAAGAACAAGTGATGAGCACCAGTGGAATCAGCCATCAGATTGATTGATGGAAGAGTAAATGTCTTATGTGACTTCAAAAAATGTCAAAGTCAAAACTGGAATTAATTCCTGAGCCAAACTTTTATGTTCTGCAGAGCCACCACTGTTAACGGAGGCGGCTTGCCCCTCAGCAAACAGGTGGTTCCCAGAGTGAACCAGATACAGGCTCGTTAAAGCACAACTGGAAAATGTCAGGTTCAGGCAAGCGAAATACCATGAGAAGGTATTTGCAGACTGCCTAGAACTAATGTGGATGATCATCCTTTAAAACAATGGTATTGCACAAGAGAGCTGTTACATAGCGTGTTCCTCTGGAAATGCAGGCAGGTAAGTAATCCTTACAACCACAACACATTTTTTAATTTATTATGAAAATGTCTGTGTGATGACTATCCTGCTTCCCAAGGGGAAAATTGTCTCTTCCTTCTTGTTTAAAGCCAGCTGAGGGAAGGACGGCAAGGAGAAAAGCAGATGTCTTGCCTTTAATGAAATGTTTTAACTTTTCTCTGTAGTGAGAGTGGATGATTTGCTGGTGCATAAACCAGGCTTTTTTTCCTACTAAGATTTTTTTTTAATACCATTTATCAGCTGAAGTTGTATGTGTTTGAATCTGAATTTGATTTTGATCTATTGAAAATGGGGTCCCCATTGGAGAAGGACAAAACGTCCTGGTGGTCACGAGAGGGCGGCACGGCCTCGCGGTCCCTCGGAGCTTGGCTCTTTCGGTCTCTGTTTTTCCTCCCTTTGGCAGCAGTCCGGTCTCTTCATGTCCTGTTTAATGAGGACAAGGGCTTGCAGGTGGCCTCGGGGAGGTGAGTTCTGAGCCCCCTTGGCCATCACCAGGGTAGGAAGAGACTCGTGCTGTTGTACCCTGCTCATGCCATAGGATCTGTACCCAGTTTGCCTTTTCTGAGACGTTCTATGCAATTCTGAGCAAGAAGATTACTTGCATTCAACAAGGGGCATCTTTTTAAAAAGCCTGTTTACTGTGGCAATGAGGAAAGGACTAAGCATGTCTTTTTTCCCCTGAGATCATAATGATCAAAACATGAATCAGAGTAACTTCACTTAGGATTGTTCATAGGAGATCACTAAGACCTTCTGGATTGTTTCCATCTGTTAGCCCATTACTGTGTTTAAGCTCTGAAGCATGCTGTCCTCTTACACTTCTGCGTATCACAGAGGCATTGCTCAATGCGATTTCTTTTGCCCTTGCCCAAGTTACTGGTGGGTGTAAAACTGAGCAAATGTGGAGATTTTGTACAGTCAGAGGCTTGTTATCGGTTTAACAATTGAAAATTGGTCTGAGGTACATGCATAGCAAATTTTAAGGTAGCTCTTGCTTTTGGAGTGATGCTAAAGGAATCCAAATAGCTTGCTTTGCACATTGGTAGAAGAGATGTTACCAAGGGTATCGAAAGTGTCAGAAAACGTGACCTTTTTGCAGAAGCAGTGTTTCTCGATCTGTTCAGCTTTGCTCTTGGAAGCAAAATTATTGCACCTGAAAGAACAGGTTGGAGAGCACCCTGGTTTGTCAGCAGTTTGCTAGTTCTCAATGCAATGTTTGCGGTGGGGGGGACAAGCGCTAAAAGTGCAGCTTTTCTACTCAAAAGAGGGTGCTCTGGATGCAATTCAGCAGTTAGTAATTACACTTTATTTGGATAAAGCTCAAATTTAGCATTTTTTTTTTCCCCCCAAAGTTAATCTCTTAATGCTAATGTTCTGCCTGCTGGATTCTACACTAGGGCGAGCAAATGGTGTAGGTAGCAGCCGAGGGAAGGACTTTCCCAGTAAAATCAGGGAGTGACCCGGGCAGCAAGCCCGCTGGCTGCTGGCACCGCAAACCCGTGATTCCTGACCTTTGCCTTTCCTGGCTGGTGATGGATGAAATGACTGCAGGAACTGGAAGTGAAGCCGGAGTCTGCTAAATCTTCATGTCGAGCCTGGAGCGTGTGTGCAGAAGTTTTGCTCCTTGGGGTGCTCGTTCCCCTGGGGTGTGCTGGGCAACCCTTTCTGCAGGCAGCAGGGAGCTGGATGCGGCACACTGCCAGAGCAAAGCAGGTATCAGCAGAGATGTTGG